GGGATGGGAAGACACTTGAAGAACAGAATGAAGTGTTGTTTCTCACACTTACTGGGAGAGCAGAGAGAGAGAGAGAGACACACACACACACACACACACACACACACACACACATACACACATGCATATACACCCCACCCCCACACATACCCCCACTCTGTGAGAGTGATTGGCTCTGGGTATAGAAATGAGTATTCATTAAATGACTATCTAACTAGTGACAAACAAAGAATTTAATGAGCAGTCATGGGAGGGAAGAACTGGTTGAAGGGAGAATACTCAGGGCAAGAAGCTTCTCATTCTGGTATCTGCCTGTGAACTTTTGGCTCTTGGGTTAAGTGAGCCACTCCCTCTGACCCCCTTTGTAGTTCTGGATCTTGGTGGTTCTTTTCAGTCCCAAATTGCCTCCAGAATCTCTCACAACCACCAGCAAACCTCTTGCCTCCTTTTCTTCTTGTATTTCTTAGTAGAAACATTCTTTAAGGCTGTTACCTGGGACTTATAAAAACTGCTCAGGCCTAAAGGGGTGTGACTTGGCCAGGGTCAAGTAGTTAGTGGCAGGGCGGGGGCCTGAACTGAGGTCTCTGAGGCCATTCCCTTAAAGGGATTGAATAGAAATGGTGAGGTGGATGTTAAAGTTGTGAGTATAGATAGAGCCTTTAGGGCAAGGGTTCTTCACCTTTCTGTGTTGTGGACCTCTTGGACAATCCAGTAAAGCTTATGAACCTCTTCTCAGAGTAGTGATTTTAAATGCATGACATAAAATACCTGGAATTACAAAGGAGATATCAGGTACTGGGAAATGAAATTCTCAAAATATTTCAAAAACAAAATAAACCAAGTGAAGCTCACAGACCCCAGGTTAAGAACCCCTGCTTTAGAGTGTTTTACAGCAAAGAGAAATGAGGGCCATTAAACCACACACACATAAGGATTTCTGTAGACTCATATTGACTTAGAAAACCACATTTTAACATGATCTAGGTTTTGTTTTTTAATTTTATTTTGTCGAATATTATCTGGCACAACAGCACTCCAAAATATTATGAGCTGCATGTTTTGGGGATCTCTCTGTTTTATAGCATCACAGAATTCAGAACATATGGGAACATAAAAGTACAAACTTGTTCCTTGAACTCAGGTTTTGAGAAAGAACGTAACTCAGATGTGGGGTCATAGCTAGTAAATGTCAGAATTAAAATTTAAACCCAGTTTTCTTCTTTTTAAGCTTTATTGATGCTTTTGGTTTTTTACATAGATCATTTCGTAGTGCCCACTGAACCTTCCCTTGTAACAAAGGAAATCAGGCAAGCAAATATGACCAGTGTGGGGGGGTTGTCTGATAGCCTTCCTCCTTCATCTCTTCCTCCCGGCTGCCAGGGGAGGGAAGTGTGTTTTATCGGTTTTCTTGGTCATCCCTGCCCTCTTGTCCACTACCCCATTCTGCCCCTCCTTCAGAATGTCAGCCTTCTAAGTTAAGGGAGGGATGTCGTTTTATATTACTCTGCATGTGGCCTTCACTGGGTGCTTGTCAAATGCTGTAAATAAATGACAAACAAAAAAGGGAAAGTGGGATGTACTTGATGGTAGTTTGACCTTAACACAGCATGTGACTTATCTGACCGGAGGCATGGATTTCAATGGCTTGTGCGTAAGCTCTCTGTGTATGGGGGTGGGACTGGGAGGGAGGCATGGCTATATCTAATGATCACAGATTTGAGGAGGGGCGACCAAGAGGAGTCTTGGTATTGCAATGCAGAATTGCTCCCTAAAGGGGTGAAAAGGCAGCAATTAAAACCCTGGTGAGTTAGGACTGAGCTAATACAAATGGCAAGAAAGTAGACTCAGAGTGCTGTTCGTGGCACGACCCTAGCAGGCAAGCATCCTCTCCCTTTGCCCAGGGTTTCTTTCCTTTCTCAGTATCCACATATTGAGCTATTTCATTTTTTCGTCTCTTACATTCCCAGTCTGTGCCCTGTTCTTTGGTGCCTAGAATCATAAGCCTTAGCTTGTGTGTGTGTGTGTGTGTGTGTGTGTGTGTGTGTGTGTGTGTGTGTGTGTGTGTGTAGATAGAGATATCATCAACCACCGTGGGCACGTTTCAGAGTTCCTGGACTGTTCTTTGGGAAATCATGGCCTAACGTACTTGATAAGTTTATGTGAGAAGTGAGGTTAAATTCTAGGGCAAGGCTTGAGGCCCAGATTCTGGCTCCTTTGATGTGCTGTGTGAGCATTGCTTCCTTGCTTTTATTGCCTGAAAGTGGACTCAGAATCCTGTGATACTCTCATTCTTTTGTCAGTTTCCAGGGTTGACAACAGGCTCAGTACATTTGTTTTTGTCAAAAAAAGAAAGTGTTAATTTGTGGACAGGGGCTTATTTTCCCAGAACAACTTGTTTTTTCACCACAGATTGGAAAATACTGGGGAATAAGCTCCTCATAACAACCCCCCAATCTCTCCTTGTAGGTCTTTGTCTCTCTTAAATCACAAGGTCCTAGAATGTTAGAACTAGAAAGGACACTGGCCTCCTCGCTTGCTGATTTTGTCTCCTGACATTTTCTGACTTCTACTATGGCTGGAACTTTCTCTCCTCATCTCCTGACTCCTGGCTTCCCTGACTGAAGCTAGCTAAAAACCTACCTTCACTAAGAAGCCTTTCTCAGCCCTCTTTATTCGTAGTTCCTTCCCTCTGAGATTATCTCCAATTAATCCTGTAAATTGATTGAATATGTTTTTTTGCATATGGTTTTCTCCCATTCAACTTAGCTGCTACAGAGCAAGGGACTCTTTGGGGCCTCTCTTTGTACTTAGCACAGTGCTTGGCACATAAGTGATTGTCAACTGCACTTTAGAGTCCCTCTAGTCTGAACCTCATTTTGTAGGTGAGCAAAGGAGGCCCAGAGACACAGATGACTTGTCTATAGGCATACTGCCCCTGAGCTCATGTTCATTACATTGCGCCATCTGTTTTATAAGCAGGAAATATTTGGGGTCCTTGAACCAATAAACATGCCTTTTATAGAGATAGTTTTTGAAAAGTACTTCTGTGTGGGGGCAGCTAGATGGTGCAGGATAGAGTACTGGCCCTGGAGTCAGGAGGACCTGAGTTCAAATGTGGCCTCAGACACTTAACACTTCACTAGCTGTGTGACTCTGGGCAAGTCACTTAACCCCAATTGCCTTACCAAAAATAAAAAATAAAATAGAAAAGTACTCTGTGTGTATGTTTGTATATACACATGTACACATTATAAAACAACTTTCACCCCAGGTCCCATCTCTTCCCTTTCCACTCCCACATACCCCAGCCAGGCTTCAGAATCTCTATAGATATATTGTACCAGTACTTAACTGTCAGTGTTCTGTCGAAGTTATCAGTGAGCTAGCTTTTGTGGCAGTTTAATCGTTCAGGTAATTGACTTGAGTCCACTTAAGGATTAATTACTGAATGTATCCTTCCAGTTACCTAGGTTTGACGTTACCCTGCACTCTTCCTTTTCCCCTCTCCACATGTCCTGTCAGTTGCCAACACTTGTTGATTCTGCCCCTGTAGCATTTCACCTCTGAAACCCCTGCAGTCACAAAGCCCCCATTACTTTAGGCTGTCATCCATCACCTCTGTCCAAGCTCTCATCTTTCTTCTGGATTATTGCAGAGATCCTCTGCACTTGATCTGAGCTAATTTCTCTGCATTGGTCTGAACATGTCACTTTGTTCAAAAACCACCAGTGGATTTTTGTTCTCCAAGACGGTTTTCCGTGCCAAGGATGACTCCTTTCTTATCTCTCCTTGTAGAATATCTAGCTTCCCTCAGAACTCTGCTTAAGCGCTTGTCTCTCTGTGAATGGCTTTGAGAATTACTTTGTACTGATCCTGGGAATTACTTTATTACTGTTGTTTCTCCCTAGTAGAAAGGAAGCTCCTTGAGAATATAGTAGGTGCTTAACAAGTTTTGGTTGAATTTCTAAAAAGTTGACTGCAATGAACACCTTTTGCTTTCTGGGCCATTGAATTCTTTGTAGCATTTGCCACTATTTGAACGTTTAGATTGAATTGAACTTTGTTGTACGTGGTAAGAAAATTAAAATGTGCCTATAGATCTCCATGTTTTTTCTCTTTTAAGACATCAGTAATTAAGTGACTGTTGTGGAGTTCTCAGAACAGATAATTGTATGACCTTAATCTTGCCAGCATTTAGTATTCCTGGCCCAGGAATGGGTATGTGTTTAGACTAAAATTTCTGTCTGTCAAAGCAAGACAATGTGGTGTTATCCCTTAAGCCATCTGAATGTTAGAAGCTTTTAAAAAAGGTGAAGCAGGAAGAGTGACAATTTATTTATCTCTGCTGGAAAATGAGAGTGTGGAGACTGAGAGTCACATTAGGAAGCAGCCTCAAAGATAGATCACAGCGTGGCTGCAGGAAGTACCAGGCTGAGGTGGGGGGAGGGCTGCTGCTCACCTGCTGAGGTGGAATGAAGGTTGGTAGGGAGACCATTTTATTCTGTATTTGAATCTGGACTTCATGGCAATGAGTTGGCATTGCCTCCCTTAATTACTTCTGAGGTCCTTTGAGCCTGGTGGATTTTGCTCAAGTAGGACAGTGGTCCAGGGTCCTCACAGTTTGTTTGGGCTCCATTCTACACTGGATCAGGCCATGGGAGTACAGGCTAGAAATTTAGGCTAATGTAGTAATTGAAAGACACAATGAATTATCTTTAGACATTTGGAATTCTAGATGTTATTGTTTTCCAGGATTGTTCTCTCTTTTTTCCTGCTCTTAGTGTTTCTTAGACATACCCCTTTTGTATTAACCGTAAGAAGTCAGCCTAGTGAATGAGGCTGGGCTGCTGACAACTGGCTGTCTGAGGCAGTGTCAAAGCTTTGTGGTCAAGTCAGCACCAAAATAATCACATGGGAAGGTCTTCCTAACTAGAGTACTGAGATTGTTAGCATCCATTCTTAAACTGTAATAAAATGCTTTCCTTGTTCTCATCCTGCAGGTCGGTGAGCTGGTAAAGGTCACGAAGATTAATGTGAGTGGCCAGTGGGAAGGGGAGTGTAATGGCAAACATGGGCACTTTCCGTTCACGCATGTCCGCCTGCTGGATCAACAGAATCCTGACGAGGACTTCAGCTGAGTGTAGCTCAACAGTTTTGCTGACAGATGGGAACAATCTCAGTTGTTTTTTTTTTTCCAACTGCCATCTATACAATTTTCCTACCAATGTCAAAAGCAGTATAGTTTATATATAAGCATTCTGTTACCCATGATCTCCTGGGACTGAACTACTCCATGCCTAACCTTGGTTCAAAATATTCAGGGTACGAAACTGGATAGCTTCTGGGTCAACTTATCAAATCACTGATTGTAGGTGGTAATGGCTGTTGGTCAGGCATACTGTTTTACCCTGCCTACATATTGTGTAAGGGAGAGAAAGCAACATCACACTTGTTGAACACTGAATTTTGTTATTTTTTCCCCCAAAACCAGTCATGTGGGTGAAGTAGCTTGCTCCCTTACTCTCAGGCAAAGCAAATCAACCTTAGGAAAATTGATGGACAGGTAGGAGTGTTGCACCCTGGTTATTATCCTTATTTACTTTGTGGTTTTGTGTTTTCATTCTCAATCCATACCATAAATGGTTATAGACTGTATTTTTTCGTCATGAAGAAATTGTGCACAGTGTGATTAGGAACTTTAAAAGAAAAGTTACCCTGCCCTTTGGGATTGCTTTATAATTTACAGAAAATGAGCATTGTAGGACATACTCTGACATTTCAGATCCTAAGAATTTTGAGGACACTACTCGAGGCATATGTCTTCCTTTCTAGTCAATGCTTCTTATTTTTTCTTAGGATTGGTTTAATATTAAATTTGTTCTGCTAACACATGGCATTCTTTTTTTCCCTAAACCTACAGATATGTAACTTAAGAGAACTGTAGGTTTAAGAACCAGTTGTGAAGTAGAATGTGTGGAGCACTGGACTCATTAGCACACAGCTTTAAGCCAGTATTTGGCTCAGTGGATAGACAGGCCCTGCCCTCCCCCCAACGGGGAAAAAAAGGGTCCCAGGTGCCAGGAACTTCTCTTCTACTTGCTTGGCCCAGTCAGGGGCCTACAGGGAGTATCTTGAGTTCCTGTACACAGTGTTTGGAGTGAAAGGACCAATCACTTAAGACTATTCCATGAAAGGTTTTGGGGCCAAGTCCCGTCTTCTGCTTATGTGTCCCCTGCATTCAAGGCAGCAGGATTTAGTGCTTGGAGCAGTGTTTCTGAACCAATCATGACAACAGCTTGTGGATGAACCATTGGGCATGGGCCAGATCTGTGCTTGAAGTAGTTCACATGTAAACTGGCTGAATTATCAGCTGTCATTGTTTTTGTTTGTGTTCAGATGTAGTTTACAAACTTTACTAACCATGATATTGGTGATTTTCTTATTGGGTGAGGTGTTCCAAGTACACAGTTATGACCAAAAATGTTCCAGAACACTTCGAGTACACAAACCCAGAATGTAGTGCCTGGTACATGAAGGTGCTTAATAAATGCTTGTTGATTGATCGTGAGGCTTTTATAAGTGTTTTAAAAAATGTGTCAGAGACACCCCTCCCCCCCAAAAAAAGGAAGTGATCTTAAAGTATGTCCCCTGAGATGACTTCAGATGCTTCAAAGGTTCCTGGCAGAGGGATATGAGTTGAAGCCAGTGGAGGACAATCGATTCCCACTTGTCCCTGCTTAATTGCGGGGAACAATGGTGTGGATAAAATAAACACATTTACATTTGGCCTTGTAACACATGTTTTGTTAAATTTTTTTATTTGTTTACCTTCCTAATCATGTTTTCATAGGTTAATAAAAGATGGAGTTTGTGATGGCTGAGCATGCCAAAAAATGGTGGAGGGAAAGGAAGCATCCCAGAATCATGCTGTGTGACAATTGAGGGGAAGCCTTGGATTAGTGAGAGAATCCAATGCAAATGTCTGAGTTGACTGTAATTAAGATAATAGTTTTACCTCACACTACAGTAAAACTTGAGAGACCTTTAATCTTCAGTTTTTCTTTATGTGTTAGCACAGTGCTATGCACATAGGCACTCAGTAAATGATTGAATTACTAGATTTAACTCATTTTGTTCTGCTTTGTCTAATGGGTTAGTCAGGTTTCAGTGAATGAGCACAGATTGTTAAAACCTAAATGCATATTAACTCAGTGCTGTTTCCCCAGAAGGTATGGTATTTGAAAAATCTTTGTGGATAAAACTGTCAGACCCGATGGGGAACTTTGTATTTTGCTTTGCATTTGACTTTCAGATTGGCTTGTAATGCCTATATAATTTTGTCACATGTAAAATTATTGGGACCTACATTTTTGCCCAAATCATAAGCATTTTTAATGGTTGGTTATCTGTGACCATAAAAGCAGGGATTCTTCTATTGGAACATTAAGATTTGGTTGTGCATGGGCAGTTGCTGGACCTCAAGAAATCAAATGTCTTCTATAAATGCTCTTTGGAAGCAGAATATTAGTACACTATTTAATTGCAAATGTGCATTACATCACAGAGCAAAAGAAAACTTTAATTGGCTGCTGTTGTTTTATATAATCTTTCAGCAAAGCCCATTCTTTCAATATTAATGTTTGACATGATTAATTCTGGTTAATTTGTTGGAATTCTTCTTGTTAATAAAGCAAATAGATCATTTTTAATTATCCTTTAGTAACATTTCACTGTTAATGGTTTGGAAAGGGTGATAAGCAAACCAGTTTGAAACAAAATATAAACATGTGCCATTGTATTATAACACTATACACTTTCTTGACAGTTAAAAATCTTTTTTTAAAAAATTTTTTTTGTAGCATGTAATGTATATGTTTATATATGTAGTAAATAAAAATATGGCCAAATGATTGGCTTGGTGATCTTTTGGGTGAAGAGTTATCTCTGAAGTTCTTTACAAGTTTATACACACAAATGCATTAAGTCAACATTTAAGCACAGTATTGAAGAGAGATAGAAATGGTCCCCAAATAACCTTGGTGCAATTAGCAAGACAACTCAATAATGTTAAATACAAATCAATCTGAGAGTGATTGGGGAGTGTGATAGTTGCTGTCAAGTACTTGAAACACTGCCATGTGGGGAAAAGGGCCTGCACCAACATGAGGCCTCCTGAAGGAAGTGGACAGAAGTCGCCCAACAGCAGATTTAGACTCGATGTAAGGAGAAGCTTCATCACAAGAAAATGTTTCAGAAGTAGAACAGAACCTCTGGAAGGTGATGCATTAGCCCTTCCTAGAGGTCTTCTGAGTCCAGGCTGGACGGCTACTTTTGGAGGAGGAATTCTCAAGGGTTTGAGATGCACTGTGTAGCTGCTGAGGTCTCAACTCTGAATTTCTCTGACCTAATGCAAACAGTATCAAAATACCAAAAGAATATGGATCAAAAGTAAAGTTAATTGGGGTTCCTTGGAAGACCAATTTTGAATTATCCCTTAATGGTGAGGAATCATGAAGACTGCAGTTAAATTGGCTTGTGGAGGTAGTTTGGAGAGTTGATCATTTGAAGGGCAGGGATGTGATGAAGGAAAGGCTAGTGGCATGCAAAGGGGTGGTGAGGTTTTGTTTTTAAGGGGGTGATATGGCTAGCTGTGAAAGTAGACCAATAAAAAGGGTTAGGCCTTCTTGGTCCTCAACAACAACATGCTATAAAATGAGGGCCTTTCTAGTTTTACATCCTATAAACATCCAGTTGCTTTGCTGTAGATAAGTAGTCATGCTGAAATAGGAGACTACAATACAAAGGAGCTGGGTTTTGCATACAAAGATTAACTTCTAGGCTAGAATTTCTCTTAGTGCAGTTGGGATGAGGGGTGCTCTGTGCCTGTCCCAATTCCCGCCACTTAATGTGCCCTCAACCTCCCTTTTCTCATTTCTGTTCATAAGGCTGTTGAGAGGATTGTCTTGTGTTTACTAAGACCTTTGAGCATCCACAGAAAAACCAATTCAAATTCAGTTTCCAAATTTAAAATTTCAAAAGCCTTATTTTTTTTTTCCACTGGAGAAATTGTAAGTTGTTTAATTCATACTGAATTAGGTCAGTTGTTGCAGGGAGGGCCCAGGTGAAGTACATGTTATACTGTTGTCGAATTTGTTTACCTCAGGAAGCCATCAACAGATGAACTACTAGGCTGGGCAGAGAGATGGATTCAGGGGCTGTGATTTCAACCCTGTAGGTACAATTGCCAATGCTGATTGTGTGGAGGTATTCCTAATCCGGTGTCAGATTTACAGCCGGAAAATGCCGTATAGATTATCCTGTCCAGTCCCTCATTGAACAGATGAAAAGCCGAGGCTTGAGATAAGTGCCTTTCTCCAGGTCACGCAAGCAGGAAATCGCAGAGCCCGTATTTGAATGGAGGTCTTCTGACTAAGGATTGTTCCCTCATTCTCATTGTACTATTCAATGGCCTCTGGATTTAGCTAGGCTTGTCATCAGACTCGGGAAGGAATGTCTGAGATCCTTTAGGGCATAAATCCCTTCGTTTTATGGATCGGAAATGGCCAGAGAGTCACCTTGCCTCTGGTTCCTGTTCTGCCATTTACTAGCAGTGTATCCTTGGGTAAGTTATTTAACTCATGTCATGAGCCTCAGTTTCCTCACCTACAATATAGGGGGGATGAGTTGTTCTGCCTATGCTGAATGAGATAATGAGCGAAAGTGCTCAGTAACCTTGAAGTACTTACATTTTATATGCAGACTGTTTATATTGTGACTCACTCGTTATTCATCAAAGCAAGATCTGGGACCCAGGTCTCCTGGCATCTAGCCCAAGCTTTTTCTACAATGGGAATCACTGATGGATTGTACAAGGAGCCCCTTAGCCTCAAAGTGCTATTGGCTCAGTGACCATTGATGCTTTGCCTTCCCATGGAAACCACTAGGAACCTAGAACACAAACCTGGGATAAAATGGTGACCCCTGACATCTCTTCACATGTATCTTGTCTCTTTTTGGGGGGAGGAGGGGCCTTCAGTAACCAGAGGAAACATTTCCGATCATAAAAGATAGAACGGAAAGGCTTTACCTTTTTACCTTGGGTTTTCTGGAGGGCCTTGGAATTGGATGGATGGATCTAACCCTAGGAATCAATGAGAGTTGTAGGCATTGCAGAAAAAACTAGACGGGCAATGAAGGAGCCACTTTCTACCCTATACCTTAATACTCATGTAAAGTCCTTTTTACTGTATGGTAGAAAAACTAGAGAAATATCCAGACACCTGAATTTCATGCCTTCTCCCACCCCCACCCCCCAAAAAACTTTTTAATTCTGAGCAGTGCTGAGCTGAGAGGGGAGTGACGTCAGCGAATATCCTTGTCAAGTTAAAGCAGTGATTCAGCAGCTGCTGAGCATAGGGTGGGCTGGGTATGGCCATTGGGTCGTATAATGAGTCCTCCCTTAAATATCTTACGGGCAGTAATGGTTATAGGGAATCAGTCACTATGTACCCTCACCCCTACCATGCACACACATGAATTAGTGTTTGGATTGGTTTTGGGAAGTGAGGGGTGGCTGTACCCCTGCAAAGCAGCATATGGTATATAGGTAGGGCAGTAGGAATTCCCAACACCTTCCAGCCCAAGGCCCCAACCTGGTATTGATCAGACAGCCAATATACAGCCAAAGTGGGAGTGAAAGAGGAGATGGGTCCCAATCCAGGAGATTTTGCAGACTCCCAAATTGTTAAGACAGCTCCCTGAAGCTGGGCCTGAGGAAAGCAAACTATGGATGGGAGTGGCCTGCCTGAACCCACCACTGTTGGAACAACTGGGTGTTACTTGAGTGCACAGAGATCTGGGCTTGGAGTCAGGAAGACCTGGATTCAAATCCAGCCACAAGCACGTTAGTAGCTGTGTGACCCTAGTCAATCTGTTTGCCTCGGTTCCTGCAAAATAGGGATCATAACATCACCTGTCTCCCAGGGTGGTGATAATCAAACTGTAAAGCACTTAGCACAGTGCCTAGCACACAGTAAGTGCTTAATAAATGTTAACTCTTATCTATCATCATCATTATTAGTATTCCTAATTAGGGAGGTCCTGAAGATTTCAATGCTTTTATGGGTATTTAGATAGAACAGCCACTGGATGTCAGGAGGGAATGGCAGAGGTGTAGCTGAAGGGGGAGGATTGTGGTTGGAACAAGTCCTGCTCCAACTGAGGAATCAGTGAATTAACATTGTTAAGTGCCTACTATGTGCCAGGCACAGTGCTAAACCCTGCGGATGCAAAGAGAGGCAAAAGACAATCCCTGCCCCCAAGGAGCTTATGATCTAATGGAAACAGCATGCAAACAAATATATACAAAGCAAGTGATGCACAGGATAAACAGAAAATAACTAGCCTTCAAGGATGGGCTGGATGTTTGGAATGTCTACATTCAATCAATACTTCTAATGTCCCTTTTTTTTTTTTTGGCTAGGCAGTGGGGTTAAGTGACTTGCCTGGGGCCACACAACTAGTAAGTATCAAGTATCTGAGATCAAATTTGAACTCGGTTTCTCCTGACTGTAGAGCCAGTGCTCCACCCATGGCGCCACCTAGCTGCCCCTATAATGCCCTTTGGATCTCTTTTGTTGAGTAATGTTTTATTGCAGAGGGTTCCTACTTCAAAAGATATTGTGAGTTCGAGTTTTCCCTTCACCAATACAGGTGACCCCTTTGTGAGTAACTAAACAGTCTTCAAGAGTTACTGTGGGGGCAGCTAGGTGGCACGGTGGATAGAGCACCGGCCCTGAAGTCAGGAGGACCTGAGTTCAAATCCAGCCTCAGACCAAATGCTTGACACTAGCTGTGTGACCCTGGACAAGTAATTTAACCCCAATTGCCCCCCCCAAAAAAAGAGTTACTGTGGCCAAAATCTGCTTGCTTCGCCCTGTGGCTGACCTCAGGGTGAGCCTCTCCAAACTTAGCTAGGTTAGTTCTTGGACAATGGGTAACTCATCACCAGCCAGCCTTCAACTTGATAGGACTTTCTAGAGAGCCCACACTCTACTGGCATAGTCAAGGACCCAGGGTCAACTACATACCATCATTAAGGTCTTACTTTGATGCATCTTACTTTGATATTAAATCATTACATGACTGAACAAGAGTGGGCTTCCAATCTGAAGTATTTGTCTGGTATCACTAGAGGGAGGTCTTTTCCTTCTAAACTTATTTACTTCATGTTGATGGTTATATTGTGTGTTCTGGGTGTCCTCTGTACAACAGATAGGCAACTTAGAAAAACCCTCCAGTTGCTCAGTTGAGTCTGACTCTTCATGACCTTGTGAACCGTAGCCCACCAGGCCCTTCTGTCCTTCACTATCTCTCCAAGTCTGTCCAAGTTCACGTTCATTGCTTCCATGACACTATCTATCTCTTCTCTGCCGTCCCCTTTTCCTTTTGCCTTCAATCTTCCCCAACATCAGGGTCATTTCCAATTAGTTCGGTCTTCTCATTATGTGCCCAAAGTATTTAAGCTTCAGCTTCAGTATCTGACCTTTCAGGGAAGAGTCTGAATTAATTTCTTTAAGTATTGATTAATTTGATCTCCTTGCTGTCCAAAGGACTCTCAAAAGTCTTCTCTAGCACAATTCAAAAGCATCAATTCTTTAGCGCTCAGCTTTCCTTACAATCCCAACTCTCACAGCCATACATTGCTACTGGAAAAACCACAGCTTTGAATATATGAACCTTTGTCGGAAAGGTGACGTCTCTGCTTTTTTCTGTGCTGTCCAGATTTGCTATAATTCTCCTTCTAAGGAGCAAGCATCTTAATATCATGGCTGCAGTTGCCATCTGCATTGATCTTTGAACCCAAGAACATAAAATCTGACATTTCTTCTCCCTCTATTTGCCAGGAAGTAATGAGACCAGTTGCTA